GTTTATGTGGATGGCAATTCAAAATAGGACTCAAATTGGGGTTAACTTGAAGAGGAGTGTTTATGTGGATGGCAAAATTTAGAATAGGATTCAAACTAGGGTTAACTTGAAGGAGCGGAAGGGTAGCAAAACTGCTGCTTGTGCGGGGTGGAGGAAACTGGAGACTATATTTTCTTCAACTGTCATATTGCTAAAGTCATTTGGTTCTGCTTTAAGGAGACTATATTTTCTTCAACTTGAAGGAGCGGTGGCGGTGCCCAGCTCCCACCTGGAGACGCTCGCCGGCAATAGCAGTGGCGGCTACATGGATGACAAGGTATACATTCAGTTCGTGCCTTGCACTGGATTTAGCTTTTTAGTCAATTCCTCATAAACGGGACTTTGAGTAGTTTCGTTAGATGTTAGTATGCATGTTTGTTTTTGAAGATTAAAAAAAATTAGCTTCCATAGATGTTAGTATGCACTTCAGCTGTAGGTATTCCTGACCAAACTGTCCACCTATTGCCAAACTGCCAACGTGAAGTATAGTACATTGTTTTCCTTCCAGTTGGTTCGTTTCTTCAAAAATACATTGGTACTGGATGCATTGGGTCTGCTTCTACTTAGATTTGTCACATATGTGCATACAAAATTGTATGGTCATAAAAAGGGCTTAAGGTATGTATCATTGATCATCTTTCAGTTCAGAAAAAGGAATGATTGCTACTTATCTGAAGATTTATTGATCCTGTTTTTGTTGCCTATTTCAGGAGACTGACATTTCAGATAAGAGGGCAATGGGGAGGCCAAGATGATCGATGAGTATGTGGATATCCGTGTTGAGATATACCAACAATGAATTATCATTCAGTAGCCTAGACAGCTAGCAAAGTAGCTCTTTAATTCAATAAAATTGCTTGCAAATTTTGACTCAGTCTACAATTGACATATTAGAAAGTGTTCTGTACTTTTGTTCTATTTTTTATCAGGATGCAGTTTGTTGTCTGAGAATTTTCCACCATATACAAGACACTAGCATAAATATCCTTTCCCCTGCACACTGTTGTAAACAGTAGGAAATTCTTAACTCACATGAGGTGCATAATTTTCCAGATGGTGAGGACAGAAGATAGGAGGGGTTGACGTGTTTACATGGCTGGTGATACAGGGCATGTTTGGAGTCTTTGCTGACCTTGACTTGCCTAGCCAGTCTTGCTTCAGATTACTTATTTGTGCCACTTCATCAAGCATATTCATTTCAAGTTAGGGTGGTATCTTCAAGTTTCCATTTTGTTGATATAAATTCTGATTGTAGTTATAAATTCAGAGCTGTCAAAATAATTGAGGTTTATGCTTGGTTAGAAATCACATCGTAACTGCAGTGATATATTGATTTATTTCAGTTCGCTGTAGAGATTCTTTTTTTACATATAAATAAGCTTCTTTCAGTTCCAAATCACATTTTGTATTTGGAGTTGAGACTGGTGATGGAGCTGTTGATAAAGAGGATCTGATTAGTGACAATGGTATGACCCACTTGCACACAACGTGTTTGTTGAAACGGCTCAGATGATCCATTTTTTTACATGTATTTTGACTCTTGTAATCCATATAGCTTAGCGCCTACCAGTTTAGTGCCTTGGAGTTGCTGGAGTTGCAAAATAAAAAGAGCGCTTAATAGATGAGAATAATTTTATGTGTGCATAAGGAATAATTTAGGATAATTTAAGAATCGTTTAAAGATGGTTTGCTATACAGAAAGAGAATCATTATTGAAAATGTTTTAATTGGTGTTAAAAGGGTACATGGTTATCTAATAATTAGGGTACTGCAACCAGTGTGTGCAATGGTATACAGGTAAATAGATCATGTCCATTCCCTTTTCTAATATGCAACAAGCAGGATGGTCCTGTACTCTGTATGATAATTAGCTCAAATTTGAAATCTTCTCTCTATTGTAGTGATTTTTTCAGTAGAGGTTGCCTGTGGTTGCTTGCATCTTGTGGTTGTGTTTTTTGCTAAAGAACTGATTCATGCTTTCATTCTTTTTTTAGGTCAATGATTTAGTTTCAGGGACATAATAAACTTATTATCCTTTTTTTGAAGGGATATTGAACTGAGATTAAGGCAACCTTAGCTTACTGATCTTGTGATCCACATGTCTAGATATTCTCAAGTTGATTTAACTCATAGATACACCATTTTTTTCTTCCCTCCTTTTGCTTCCGTTGTCATGGACTTTTATATGCTTGCTTGGTCAGCGTGGTTTTCTGAATTGCCTGGAAGAATTTCCCCATGCTTTAATTTCGCTTCCTGCATAAATTTTCTTGACAGTGAAACTTTTTCAGCTCACGATTATTCTCCCAGTTACATTATCACCTTTGGTGGCTAGCTAACTCATGCTCTTGTCTTGCTCCAGGAGTACATGTACAGGAGGCTTCAGTTCAGGTGACCTTGTGACTGCACTACAATGCATGCATGCCTCCATCTGTACCACCTGCAAGAAGTGCAAGTGATCACTTGCTGCTATGCGTTTCTGAATTGTTTCGCCGTGTGCCTGCAGCTCAGGCTCTCAGCTGGTACTTTACGTTTGTGCAGGGGTTTTCGTGAAGCATATGGTGAACCCGGCTCTCGGACGTGCTCATGGGCTCCAATGGCCTCACCAAGGCCTCACTCCACTTCCTCAATTACCCTGCGCAAATCAACCAAGGTAAAATTGGCCCCTTCTTTTTCATCTGTACCTTCTTTACAGGGTCTTTTGTTTTTGTTTTAGCAGAAATACAATTCCTTTTTTTGTGAGGAAAAAGAAAAAGAAATATAGTTCTTGTGATATTACAATGCAGTCTAAATGACTGAAACATCAAACACAGTTAGCCAAAGCAGTAGGAAAAAAATACGCCATGCTCTTTTATTGGTATATATCCTTCAAGGAATCCCTCTTTGCAATTATTTATAGGAAAACAATCTCAGGGTCTGAACACTGCATTCCATATCGTGATGACGAGGATCAGATCCACTCAAAAAGTGTTGCTACTTGCTAGCTACTTAGCTTGAGTTACTGAAAAGGAGCTGCGAAACATGAAGTTGATTTGAATACAACTATTTTGGTTTATATGCATTTTGACTTGCCTTGGTGCCTCCCATTTTAGACTTCAATATAAATATTTTGTTGAGTCACTATTATAAATTTATAATGAACTAAAGTTCCACATCTTTTATTTGTTTTGGCAAGTGATATGAGTACCTCTTAAATCAGAGAAGAGAAGCACTTAGTGGCAAAATCGCATTTCCTTGTCGGGCTTCTGTGCAATAGAAAACGAAGTCCTCATGACAAATACCTTCCAGTTTAATTTTGATATTATTTTCTGCCATAACCCACTGCATTTGTTGTAGGCTTTTAAAGTCAGATCGTTGAGGTTGGTTGGTGGGTAGCTTTAATTGTGAGAAAATGGGTTATGTGTGATATATATATATATATATATATATATATATATATATATGTGTGTGTGTGTGTGTGATGGTTGATATATATATATGTATATATATGAAATGCTTGTGTCGATGGAATGCAAAAAACAATTTTTTTTTAAAATTTCTGCCTCTTTGCCGAGGGCAATGATCAAGGCCCTCGGCAAAAAAGGGTCCTTTGCCAAGGGCCGTCCCATTGCCGTCGGCAAAGATTTATTGGAAAAATTTTGGAACATTTCTTTGCCAAGGGCCATGGTTGGAGGCCCTCGGCAAAGACTTTTTTTAAAAAAATTAAAATTTCTTTGCCGATGGCCTGCGGGGAAGCCCTCGGCAAAGATTTTTCAAAAAAAAAAGAATAATTCTTTGCCGAGGGCCGTCCCATTGCTCTCGGTAAAGATTTTTTGGAAAAATTCTGCAACATTTCTTTGCCGAGGACCATGGTTGGAGGCCCTCGGCAAAGATTTTTTTTTAAAAAAGAATAATTCTTTGCCGAGGGCCCCCGGAGATGACCCTCAGCAAAGACTCCGCCCCAAGCGTCGGCGCCGTGACAGCTGCTTTTCTTTGCCGAGTGCCGCTCCAGCCCTCGGCAAAGGCTTTGCCGAGTGCCCGATAAAGGGCCCTCGGCAAAGACCCTCTTCGCCGACTCAAAATTCCCCGAGAGCTCTTTGCCGAGGGCCGCCCTCGGCAAAGCCTTTGCCGAGGGTTAATGGGCCTCAGGCCCTCGGCAAAGAGGCAGTCTCCAGTAGTAGTATGCATGATGTTTTTTATAACTGGATTCCTATGGGCAGTAGTGACTATCATACTGAACTCTTTATGTCTGCGATAGTTTTTATGGTGATTATGGACTGTTAGAAATAAGATAGGGATTGAGAAGATTAATTTTTACTAGAAACTTTAATGAATTTTACCATAATTTTTTTTGTGTTGTTGTACAAGTGGCGCATTCTTATGAGAGAACGGGTTTGCCCAATATTTGGATGACAAAATTACAAGAATGAAGAGCCGGCTGCATGTTTTTGGAAAAAAAAAAAAAAAAAGACCTAGAGGTGGAGGGGGTGCTGTAGATTTTAGTATTTTCTGTTCTTTGGGTTTAGCTGGTTTAGCTTGTGTTGGTGACGTTGTGTTGGTCCCGAGCTGGTGTAGCTCTTTCTATCGTTGTAGTTTCTGCGCTTTTTTTAAGCTGGAATTATCCCCAGCATGGGATGGAACTTTGGGGCGTTGCTTCAAAAAAAGCTGAGTTCATCCTCGTTCAAAAAAAAAAACATCGTCGGAGTTGGGAAAGACACAACATGTGGCGTTCATATTCATTGGCAAAAGGAGAAAATAGTGGTAGATCTGTCACAGCTCACAAGTCACAACCAACCCGAGGTCACAAAAGCCACATTATTAGTTGTACACAACACAAGCGGGCCCTGAACGTACACAGGACGAGATAGCACACCATTAGATTAACTAAGCAACACAAGGCGGCTGAGGCATGGATCCATCGATCTGGACTCTGGAAGTTGGACGTGGCCGCTGCCAGTGCCAGGCGTTCCAGGCGCCCAGCGCCCCTACACGGCCCTGACGGCGATCTTCATTCCGGCCTGGCAGTGTCCCCGCACGGTGCAGGCGAAGTAGTGCGTGCCTCTGCCGAGCCTCACCTTGTCGCGCCCGCTCCGCAGCACCTTGGCGCCCTTGGGCACCGCGCAGCTCCGGTACGCCGCCGCGTTCACGACCGCCACGTCGTGCACCGCTCGGTTGTAGTTGAACACTGCGCGCGCACAAGCCGGCCGACACAGCACGCACGTAATTAAGGGCACACGGAGAAGCAATGCACGCTGTCGACATATATACGTACCGAGCACGTCGCCGGCGCGGAACGTCCTCCCCTTGGCCCACTTGTCCACGTTGAACTTCCACCCGCCGTAATCGCCGACCATGTACGACGCCGCCGCCTCGGCGACTGGGGCGCTGGTTGCCACCAAGAGGCCGACTAGGAGCGCCAAGGCGAGGACGCCACCGATCGCACCGCCTCTTCCCCGAGCCATCATCACCGGGTATCAGCTGGCTTGGCAGCGACGACCGGGTGATCACCTTGGTTGCACTTGCACGGCACAGAAGCAAGAGCTCACTCGGCGCTGCTTTTTATAGCGCGTTCCGCCGCGCGCGGCCAAGGCGGGTGGAGACGAGGCGACAGTGGAGTGGGTGCGTGAGCCGGCCGGCGCCCCGGCAATGGCGCGGCGTAATGATGATCATGCATGGACAGCCGCGCTAAACCTGGCTACTTGGCTAGTCAGGTGGGCGCGATCGATTGAGCGGAGAGACGAAACAAAAAGCTGAGATGCCGAGCTTTCCGGAAGTAAAATACTCGGAGGAGCACTCGATGGCTGGATGAAGTGTTGTGCGCGGCGCGTGCGAGCCTTCGATTTGAGCTGAAACATTAGCTGGAGCCTGGATTCGCCGACGAGTCGCGAGGATTAGCTGAGTTCCTGAATCCGAAAGCAAACTTCAGTTGTCTTCAGCTTCCGACTACAAACAGTTCGGTTGATCTCATCGCAGCTTTGCCTTTTTGTTTCCAAGTGGATTCTGCGATCTGAATCTGCTAATGCCAGCTACTAGCATATGAACACTGAATCGTGCAAAAGGTTCTCCAGTGGCTAGTGCAGATGCAAGCCTTGTCACGGACCTAAAATGGTCGCGGAGTCCTCGTTGCGTTGCTGCAAAATCCAGCTTTTGAGTAGACTTGTCGTGGACGCGAAGGGTTATTATTATAGCTGCCTGCATATGGCAACCTTTGTGTCAATGGATCAGAGACATGTCAACACTCTTGTCAACTTTGGATGAGCCATGGCTCTAATAACATACAGTATTTACAATCCTAGCTTCATCCTTAATTTACACCGTACTAGCCGTGACATGGAATGAAAACTGATCCATGTATAATCGTCAGCGTCAAGGTGTGCCATCTATCGCGCGTCAGACCGACGACACGACGCGTGTTTTCCTGTAGTTGCCACTGCTCGCCAGATAAATAGGAGTATTTGTCTTGTTGCCAACGTCTGCACATCATCAGCTTTTCTGATGACTTTGTTTAGTGCCCAAAGGCAACCAAGATCCAAGTGACATCTTTCCTCCTGTCAACTCCTAGAGTTACAAACTTACTAGTAGGAATATAATCGTATCCATTGGATATGACAGAGACATCCAAGTGAGACAACCGACGCCCCAGTATTACGCTCCACGTCTCAAAGCAAAATAAAGCTGATCCAGCACACCAATTATCTGTGGTGCTCAGCGGTCAGCAGCCATAATTCAGGGGCAAAAAAAAGGTTAAGATATATCAAGAACCCAAAAGATTTAGGCCATTAGCATTTAGCAATGGCAACTTTCCTTACTATTGTTTTAAGAATGCCACATCGGTTAAAGATGTTGAGGTGATGAAACAAACAAGGTCCACAAACATTTTGCAGTTTTAGAGGCTTGCCATAGCATTTACATATTGCACGGTGTTATGAAATGAGATACTTTGAAGTTTCTTTCGGTGTTCAACGCATGTAGATGAAATGAAAAATCCCAGCATAAACAATGAGTGCTGGGTTTCCAACGCATGTAAGATGTTTGATTTCCAATGTGTGAAAACAGTTCGATGAAACTTATCTCCTCTCTCATAATTTCTATGTCATGTCACTGGCTCTATCTCACGTAGATGCACGGGGTGATAAACAGGTGGTACTACTAAACTGCCGTGTAACATAGCCTAGCCATATCTTCACTCATTCGTCCTTGACGGCCCGTAGCTCGCGGTTCCTCCTCTCGGCTAGCATCAACTTGGTTTTCTCCAGCACGCCAAAGAAGATGGACCCACCAATGCCAATCCACAGCACTCGCGGCTCAATGCCCTGACATGTGTCAACAGAAATATATCAGCCTAGTGCTCCGCTGCACCAACACTCGTCAGAGAACATGAATACGAATTCCAGAACAAAATGTGGCTTTAGACATGAGAGACAACTGAAAAAAAAAGGCATCTGGACAAATGATGACAATGTCTTCTTTGGTCGATGCAATAGAATTATTGAGTGCAGCAAACTAAAAGGCCAAAAGCCCAAAACATAACTGTAACCGCAAGTCACTATTGAAAACTTATCTAATGGGGAATCAAAAAGCTTATACAGTTTAAAGACAATAAAGAGTTTCCAGTTCACATGACGTAGTCTAGTGTTTGTTCTCCATTTTAAGAGTACTGAAGCTGTTCACACAAGTGGTGTTTTACCTTCAAGAATGCCGTAGGGCCTTCCTCTCTGAGGATTGTCTGAGCACAGCTTACAATTCCAGTGTATTGGTTCCCTTGTCCCTGCAATTACAACCAATATGGACATAGTCAGTAATGCAGAAGGAGATTTGCGTGGAAAGTCTTCATACAAGTATTCACCTGAACCATCAATCTTGTCTTCATGACATCAAGGGGAGTTGTTATAGCTCCAGTGATGGCGCCTAGCAAAAAAGTCAAAGCCCAGAGTAGATGGAAGTGATTTGTCAGGAAGAGGAGATAAGATAACCCAAGAGTGGACAGTTCTCTGGATCATAAATGCATTCTCTGGAAGCAAGGTGATAGTTCCAAAAGATTAGGGTGACAATTTGGTTATACCAGCAAAAGCGCCAATAAGTGCATTCTCTGGATCATTCAACTCCCTTCTCGCCTGGATAATGAATCGTGGGAAAATTATGATAAGAATCGTGGAAAGTTCAAGTTGCAATTTATGTTGGACATTGGTTACAGCAAGCTATTTAGTGAAGGATAAATAATATGAACCATCAATCAAGTCATTCAGTCCTAGAAATAGTGTGAACAGATTTTGGTGAAAACAGCAGCATGCCAAATCACATCTGCCTGATGTAGCCTTCAGGAGATAGCAAAATGCTGATCATATTACAAAATTTGACCCTACCAAACAAAAGTCATTCAGGGACATGGAGCAACTTATGAACGCACAATCTTATTTTAGCACTGCAAGTGGTTTGAAGCTTTGAACAGATTGTTCATGAGTAGTTTAACAGATCTGAGAGAAAAAATAGTAGTCTCAGCAATGAAAGAGTACCATAACTTTGTAGCCAATTCGAAGTTGCTCATAAATGCAGAATTGAATGGCATCGAATGGAAGATCTCGAAGTAGAAAGGAACCATAACCCTATAAACCAAAAGAAATCAGTGTTATAATGGATAATATTGCAAGATATATTTTAAGTAGGAATAAAATCTACACATCAGATCAACAGTATTTCATTCTTCAAATAGAAGTCAATATTACACCTTAAAAGATTGTTAACCAAATAAGATGCCAGAATATACATACGGCGTACAGTCCTTTAAATCCTTCTTTAGCAACAATGAGACGAACAGCATCAGGTGCAGACTTGAATTGACCTGTTTGTATCCTTTGTTTGACCACCTGAATGCAATGAGATCTGATTTGGATGCAGTACAATACTACCTGGAGTAGTAAAATATAAAATTACAGACCTCTGTAGGGACACGGACAAGGGAAGCAGCAATACCTCCAATTGCCCCTGCAGTCTGTAGCGATTGCATATTAAAAGACATGGTCAATATAATCAATATGCTGTAGTAGGCACTAAGCATTCACAGAGAAGACACAAATGACAGTCTTGGTAATTTAAAAGCAAAAAAGTGCAGGTGCTATAAAATGAAAAGTACATGGTATAAACAGCAATGTCAAACAATAAGCCTTGTCTGTTCTAACTTACAAAATGGGCAACTGCACTCAGATTTTCAGGAAGTGTCTCCAGTAATTTTCTTTTAGTTGGCTCATACACTCCGACAAATATTGCAGAGGCCCTGTCATAAATTACACATTATGCTATGAAAATCATATAGACATGAACAATGGTACTTTGCGAATAGAATATAGCAATTTCATCTCATGGTGTCTTTGCAAAAGATTAAACTACTGAATATGACTTCTTAATAGGTGCATGGCAGTCAGTTAAAGGTAAAACAACACTAAACTACCCAATAAATATGAAAGGTAAATAACAATTGCATCATACCACGAATTGATACATATAATGCCTTAAATACACAACACAGTGGCACCTTGAGGTTGGGGCACAATAGGCTAACATCTTGCTGCTTGAAATTGCACTTAGGAAAGCAAGATCATTGTATGCAGTATGACAAAGAGACATGGTGTACTCACGGAAGGACACCAGCAAGATTTCCAGCTAATCCAGCATACAAGCCTTTCCATTCAATCCAGCTTCCACCTTGAGCAGCCTGCAGAGATCGCAAACTTCAGACAGCATGTACATGTTGCAAGTAGTAGTGATACTAATATGCCAGTAAACAATGAACAGAAGAAATGGATTCATCTAAGAAACTAGAAGCACGACGTATTAACTTATAAAACTAGAGAGACACTTATTTGACCATGAGTTGAAAAGGATTTGGAGCACATTGAAGACACACTTAGATAAGAATTCTATATGCAAAACACATCACTGCTCTTATTAAATAAGTCATGTTACAGAAAAAGCTATTGTGCAAGGGGGGCAAACATATATGTACCTGAAGCCTGGTTTTTATAGTATCAATCGGGTACAGTGCTGTTTCCACCACAACACCAGCAGTTCCTCCAGCTATGCTGCCCTCTGAAATGAAAGGTTAAACATAAGAAAAAATTAGCAACTTTTTTGTTTATTCCTCGAAATAACAATTGCCGATTTTATATCAGGATTCAGGAGAGGAAAAGGCAGGAAAAGGTGCCAAGCCACATTCTATTTAATGGAATGAGCAACTGATATATGTGGTAAATAATGGGAAGAAGGCCAGGTTTTGGTTGGATGTTTGGCTGGGCAATTGCCCTTTTAGAATAGTCTGCAGTAGAATTTTTGACATTTGTAATGAACAGGAGGAATCAGTATGCCATGTGCTGAAAACTAATGAGATAAATTTAATTTTCAGAAGGTCCTTTGGAGAGGAGGAGCAGGAAGAATGGCTATTGCTAATATCACAGATTAGAGATATTCAGTT